TACCAAACCGTTGGATTGGTCGCAGTTCATCCGATAATATGGTTCTACACAGTTGGCCTCCGAGATCACCCGACCTAACCCCATGCGACTTCTTCCTTTGGGGATTTGTGAAGGATCTTGTCTTTGTACCACCTTTACCTACAAGTGTAAATGAACTGAAAAAACGCATTTGTGATGCTGTACAAACAATTACCAGAGATACATTACACCGTGTTTGGCAAGAACTTTCATATCGCAATGATATCATACGTGTAACGAAAGGAAGTCATATTGAACACTTGTAAACAAAAACTCACACATTTTCCCGTTATATTCGTGTTTGAATTATAATTTTCTGCGTGTAATTTTTTAAAATATAAATTTTTGAAATCGGATGATTCTTTCCGGGGAACCTTGTATTTTAACAGTGTTCGTACGATAGTATGAAGCACGCATACGATAAATTTCGGCTCAAATAAATCTTTCGTTTAAAAGCCATAAATCCGTTCGCAAAGGTCCTTTTTATATTGCTTAATTTCTATTCTGTAATAAACGTTACCGATACGTTTTCCGAGTTTTTCTCTGACACACCGCGGTTCGGTGGACATTTTTCATCTTTCTTTTTTGTATCTAATTTGTAAAACAGTACGAAGCAATTATATTATAATAAATGTGGAAAGTATAACAAATGTTACGAACGCGTCCGCGACGGTGCTTTGGTTCGCCGCACTTTTAATCTGGACAAAATGTGATCGAAAAAAAGTGACGGCACGGGAATAAAAATATAAGCGTGCAACGGCGATATAGTAATATTTCAGAACTATAGAAACACGGTAATATTTCAGCGTTTCCCGCTGCGGAAAGCCAAAAGATCGTGCTCGCGTAAAAAATTCCCGTCTGCGGGAGCAAATATGAAAGTCTCTCTCTGCCGCCCCCGTCTGACCGCAACGAACCTTCTCTACTAGCCGGCGCGCTTAATTTCTCTCGCGCCTGACTTATCATACTTCCGCACCTCTTCCCCGTTCACACATCCAATTACTCGCGGCATCTTCCAGCGGGAAGTCCGTTTTTCTGTCCGCGGGATCATAAATTCCGTGGGAAACGAGCCTTAAAATTCAAGCACCGCCTATGACGCCGTTCTCCGGGCGGATTCAATTTCAAAGTTTCGAATTCGTTTCCGACCTTGTCATCGTCTCAGGCGTCTGCGGCGAACGCGCGGATCGCGGCCCCGATAATCTGCTTTCCGTTTAATTTTTGGCTGTCGAACGGACCGCCCTCGAAACTTCCGATTCGCCGTTATTATTCCCGCGGTCGCCCCGTGCTTCTTTGCGCCCAATACCCGTGTATAATCCCGTTCGCAATTAACTTATGCAAAATCTCAGCCCGCGGAGTAATGTACTCTCTCTCTCTCTCTCTCTCTGTCGGCCGGGGATCGAAAAATCGGCCACTTTTTTTCTCGCGTCGCCGGGGAAAAGCGGCTTAGAGAACGGGATCCCGGCGCCGGTTCCGCGCCGCCGCCAGATAACGGTCGCGCCGGAAACGTTTTCTAATTAATTCCGCCCGTTAATTAGCTACGCGTGACCACGTAATTATTTGGCATTTCGCAGCGTTGCTCAATTTCCCGGACACCGTTCCCCCGATGTCGCCCGGCGCCGCGAAAGAATCGTCGGAGCGCTCTATTCGTTTCATTAATAAATTACCCAGGCGAGCACGTCAATCCTGCCGCGTTCGTCTGCGTTCTCGGCGACCTCGCGGCACGCCGCCGTTTACCGTCCACGGTTAATTAAATCGGCGATGCGGCGAAGGAAGCTTCTCGCCGTTCGGAATGGGCGGAAAGGGTAAAAGTGGTAGAAATGGTAGAAATGGTAGAAATGGTAGAAATGGTAAAAATGATAAAAACGGGACCAAGTGATAAAAACGGTGAAAATGGTAAAGTAGTGTCCGGGAATTTTTCCAGGCAAAAATAATAATCGTATCAATGTTGAACTCTGTATAATTATTCACCCTTATTTCGAGAACGCAGAGAATATTTTTCAGTAAGAACGCTTCGGTAGCTTCGAGATTATCATAATAATATAATTATATAGTATTATAATTATTATAGCCTCGAAAAATTGCTTTCCATAAACCAGGCGATGTTCCAGAATTTGTTTGTTATGAAACCAATAGACATATCAATTTCGTATTCGAATCACTTTTCACTATCTACCTCGATTATGCGCACCAATATTTTCTAACTAAAAATGCCAGTTAATTCAGAAGCCGACGTGACCGTCTTATTATTTTCCGGAAACAGGCAAAGTTTGAGAATTTTTCTAAGACGAACTGTGTTAAATGTATCGATACCAAACATCAGCAGATTATTATTTAATTGTTTGAGAACGTGTCGTATATTTTTCGATGGAATCTATCGACAGTCTCCGAAGTTACACAGCAGTTTAGGTGAACGTTAGTCGCGCACATGGTATAACCCCGCGAATGCTCAGACATGCAAATGGGCTATTCTGAGGGCGAAGTTCTTCTACCAAAAAAAATATAAAATACGAGGGTACAGTTAGGATTATAATCCGGGGGTCTGGGAAACGCGATAACGTTAAGACGTGGATCCCGATCGTCGAAAGAAAAATGATCGAAAAAGCGGAGGGGCTCCGTGGAGCAGTGTAAAAGGATTGGTAGCATTGTTCCAGAAAAGTAGCGCGTTACAAAAGGGGGCAGGAACGAAAGAAAGCCACTCCTTTCCAGATTCCAGTAAATCACGCCTTTAAATCTCGGATCAAAGTGACTGCCTTTGATTTCGAGCTTCCCCGTACCCTTCGATGAAAAGAGGGCCGGAGGCTTTTCCCGAGAATCGAATAATTAACCGAACAGGACCGGCTGTGCACTCTCTCTCTCTCTCTCTCTCTTTCTGTCTCTGTCTCTCTCTTCTCTCTCTCTTCTCTCTCTCCTCTCTCTCTCTCCACTCTCTATCTCTCCTCTCTCTATCTCTTTCTCTTCTCTCTCTCTTCCCTCTCACCTCTCTCACCTCTCTCTATCTCTCTCTTTCTCTTTTCATCCCGTCTCACCCTGTCCCCGCCGTCTTCATCCGCGATTATCGATTTATTGCTACGTCTGAGACGCTCCGAGAGGCATTCAGACGAGTTTATCATCTGGATAGCTGTTCCCGTTGATAGTTTCAAAAGCGGAGGGGTCTGGTGATGTTTATGTTTGATCAATCGTCCTCCTCTGGCTGTGTGCTCGGCTGTAACGTCGCTGCTAATAACTACTCGAGCTGTCCCAGCTCCACAGACACGGCTTTCTCTTAATTAACTTAATATTTCATTACTACCCGGGAAAACAACCGGGAATATTTATTGCCGTTAGCTGGCGTAAAAATCAGTCCCGGAACAATAATCTCCGTGGCAGTATTGTTTGTTGCAGTTGTTATTACACTGTGGATTGCTACGAAAAATAATTTTCTTGTTTAACCATTTTTTCTGGATTGGTATGCGAACGAAAAATGCAGGCTGTATATTGTTACACAGAATCAAAATTTTCTAAGGTAATTATGCGAAGCAAACATTCGATAAAAATGCTTTCCTTTTTTTAATCATTTTATTGGACTGTTAGGCACAGTAAAATTTCAGACCGTATATTGTTATACAAAATATAAATTTTCTAAAGAACTTACGTGAAGCAAAAGTTCATTAAATAATGGTTCTCTATTTTTAATAATTTCATTGGTTTGGTAGGCACACTAAAATTCCAGACTGTGTATTGTTATACAGAATAAAAATGTTCTAAGGCGATTATGTGAAGAAAAGGTTCAATTGAAATGCTTTACTTCTTTTAATAATTTCATCGGACTGTTACGCAAACCAAAAAATCCAAACTGTGTATTGTTACACAAAATAAAAATCACAAGCTCGATAAAAATGCACTTCTTCCTCCAATAATTTCAGTCATGGATTATTATGCAAATCACAATACTTCAGCGTGTACCATTATGCCGATCTAAAAATCCAGACTGTGTATCGTTAGAAAAAATAAAATTGGCAATTCTGTGGAACAGAAGTAAAATGTATCACTTTTTTTAATCGTTTTGATAAGGACGATAGAGGAAGCGGCGCGCTCGCGAATGATCGGATATCGGAAATTTCCGAAATTTCATTTTCCAGTGCAGAACGAAGTTTCGCAGTAGCGACAGGTTTTCGCAAAAAATCTGATCTCTTGGCGGCCTTAATCGCGCCCACACAGATTCGAACGGCCGACACCAGTCCGTATTCGAGGGTAAACGTTTCGAAGTGACTCCAATTAGAGGCCATTATGGTCCGGTTATTAATGGCTCTCGGCCCGTGGGCTACATGACGCGATTCCACGAAACGCGTTACGTTATTCCGGCAGATTATACACCGGCATTACTGGCTGAGAGAGAAAGAGAGAGGGAGAGAGAGAGAAAGAGAGAGAGAGTGTCGATATCATGCATTCGTTCGTGTTTCCGGTGGAATGCTGTTTGCTCTCGATCCGTGTGTACCGTATTCTGGCACAATTCAAATAATATTTTACCGTAATCCCGACGAGTTTAGGGGTTTAGACGAGATCGTACCCGTGTCTGACCACGAACGGCCCTTTCTACTGTTTCGATACCGAATCATCCGTGCCTATTTGCTTTGCGTGCAAATTCATTTCTGTTATGTGTACTCTAAATGATAACCGCTTCACGCGTGTCCCGCGTGTCATAAATAACTTCCGATGCAGCTATGTAGAATCTATTGTTCGTGTCTACCCACTACGAGTCGCCGGGGCAAACGAGTTTTTGCCTCCGCTGAATAGATAAGGGTTCGAAATAAATAAAATTAAAAAAAAAGCGAAAAGAATGAATAAAAAAGAAAGCAAAATAAATGTCCGATAAAGAAGCGGAAGTTATTCGCGACTCGACTAAATAAATACGAACGCAAATATGCTAAATCGACTTAATTTGAATAAACAGTCGAATAAACTGAATCTAATAGAAATAAATTATTGCCGAAAAACAATGTCCGTCGCCCGACGATCGAAATTGTCGACTAATTGGCTTGTAATTGTTTCAGAATGCCTAACGAAAACGCACCAGCCTGCGAGTGCGGGGTGGTGGTCGACCATCCGAAATCACGGAACAGCTCTCTGTCCGCGAAGAAGCTGATCAAGATATCGAAGTCGAAGAGCGGCAAGCAAGAGGGCCGGTCCGGCAAGAAACAGCAGGATGAGGCACGCTCGAAGAATAGAAGCTCCGAGACCGGAAGCAGTAGCTCGGTCGTCGACCAGGGAAGGCAGACCACGAAGACCAGCAAGTACGAGAAGCGTTTGAATCACTCGAGGAGGACTCGAAGCGCCGACAGGGCGGAATCGCATTACACTTACATCGGTAACCATGAAACATACTCGATTCTAACGGCGAACATACCGAACATTGAAAGGGACCGACGTGAGTTGCTTCATGAAAAAGACGGGACTCAGCTGATCCTATGAAGAATGTACCCAATCCACAAAAATTACTGTCAATTTTCAATTTATTTAGAGTTTTCGTTCTTTTTCGTAGAATCTGTGCTTGAACTGAGAAATTTATTCAACCGTGCTCTATCGGAGAGACTTATTGTAATAAAGCTAGAATTAAAAAGAAATTAATGAAATCATAAATTGTAAAATTTGGCGCAAATGGCTAGAAATCGTCGATTTTAAAATGTGGTGCTAAAGAAAAATTCTGAATATTCTATTTTCATCTTGATTTGCTCTTCTTTCTGCGGAAATGTTTTTCTACATATTCCACAAGATAATATACAATTGTTTGATTATTTCGGTTTTTGTCGAACGCTTTATGGAACACTTTATTTGCCAAAGACGCTTGTTAACAGGTTCCTTAACAATTAGACTGCGGATCTTATCCATTTGTGACAAAAATCAGTGGATCAAATGGAAAACAGCACGAACATTTGAGCCGTTTATTTTGAAAGTGGCATAAGTCACTTTTTCAAAAAAATCGAGTTAATGGTAACACTAATTACAATTGAACGGTATCTTTTCATTTAAAAAAAAAAGAAAAAGTGACTTATGCCACTTTCAAAATAAACGGCTCATTTAAGCAATTTGATAATATTATTGTATTACTCGCTAAAATTGTAAAAGCATGAAATGAACGTCTATGTAGTTCCAGCATTTTGCAATTAACGACGATAATTTTTCTTCTGCATAAAAATCCGCGATCTATTAACGACTCTATATAAACGTAACTCGATAATTTTATCTGAAATTTCAGAAAAACTTGTTGCAATAATAAAAACAGTTTGTTCACTGTTAGAAAGCTGTCGGCAAATAAAGCGTCGATTTCTGGGAATAGAAATTTCCTCTCGTAAAGCGATCGTAGATCAGATATTTTGTTCACTGATTCACTTGATAAAACGTCGAAACAGGATCGCAGAAACGTCAATGAAAAATCGACATCATTTCCGCCCGTATTTCACGGTTGCAAGCGGTCTCTCAATTTCGGTAGCGAGCGTGCTTTAATGAACTTTCGACGACGCCGACGTTATTCCGCGACACTTTTATTCTGAAATTGTTTTCCAATGTTGCGTAGATTCAGGATCTAGCATACTCGGCGGAGGGATTCGAGAGGACACTATACCGGAGGCGTTGTACGCCACGATCCCAGACACGCCGAACTCGAGCGTCAACGAGATCGGAAATAGTCAATTAAACGCGCACAGCGGAGTGCGACCTTTTTACGTAGTCCCCTCTATGGTGTCGCCGCCGCCCACCTACGACGTGGCGATCTCGAAAACGTGGCAGGTTAGTGACAAATATTTTCCAGTTGTCCCGCAAACCGTGTCGAAACGGTTCCTTTGCAATTTAATCCGCAAACCCTCGTCGCTCCAAATATTATGTTTTCCGATCCGGCAACATCCAAATGAAAATGAAACATTTTATCATTTTGTTCCGAGTCCGGGGAACATTCGCTTGCGATGATTGCCTCAAAGCAAAGAAACAGAGGCAATAAATAGTCGTTAATAAATAGTATCGGTATTATGGTCGCGTTTAACGCTAGATCCGCGGATCAATAAAAACGGCTATTTTATGTTATTCCACAAATGTATTTATTCGGAATTTTAACGATTTATATTCTATTATTTGTCCCAGGTAACAAATTTATCGAATAAATTCCTCGCGAATGTATTTTTACCATCTCAATAATCGGAAATTAGCTATCGAGCTTTAAACGTGATTAATGTGTATTATTTTATAACAATAACAAGATCGGATTTATTTAAACTTCCTACGAATTTTATTACGACAAGTGTTTGAACGAAGAAGTTCGTACAAAAATTTCGGAAAAAGACATTTTTATAGTATCAGGAATTACAAATTAATTTCTTTAAATTTCTTTTAAAACATGGAACAAGATTTGACTCTTCCGTTATCAAAGTTCCGGGATGAAAGTACACGAAGACGCGCAAGAAGCAGATATCGTTTCGTTCTATTACCGTTTCGGGATATTTCGATTTGGATTCGCGAATAATTCGCACAAAATTTCGCAGCAAAAACTAGCGATTTGTTCGATCTGTCTTCCGCAGATATTATCCACAACGTCCTCGCGAATTATTCAATTACTAAAAAGCCTCGCGAATAGAACGGGAAAAAATGTCAGCACCGACTGATGGCCGGACTGGAACGTCGTGATTTACCGGCAATTTAATTCCCAGGCTGGTGTGTCGGATGTACATAAAAATTGTTCGTCGAATGAATATTCGTTGGTCCGTCGCGGCAAATAAATTTCACGGATAAATCGCGTCGCGACCGTTCGTATCTTTCCGCGTTAAAACGCGTCGCGTTTCGATCATTATTTCCAGCGATTTTCTAAAAACGACAAAAGCAGTGGGTCGGTTAATCGTCGAGCGTGTTCGAGATAGCGGTAACCTAGAGAGGAAAAATGTAAACGGTAATAAAAGAAGCTCGAATCGCGGAAATAAACGGAGAAGGAAGGCGGCAAGCGCGAGCCCGCCGCCGTCCCGAATTAAAATATAACCGGGGAATCCATAAAATCGATGTTACCCGGCAATCCCGTGGCCGTTCTAATTCCTCGATAATTGCGAGCCGAACTTTTTCTCCTGCCACAACAAGAATCCCGCTATTCGTTTTCCTCCTCGGCGGTCTCTCGCGAGCCTCGATCACGCCCGCGATCGTCTGCGATGAGAAAAGGGATTCCTCGTCGAGAGGTCAAGGTGAACGTGAAAATAATCGACGCGCTAATGAATTTTATAATTTCGTGTGCACGGTCGCGCCAGTATCCCGGCTTGTTCCGAGTTCAAAAAGATTCTCGTCGACGGCGGAGGATTCGCAGAAAGGATTTTCGCGAGCGTTCCAGCGACCACTCCGGCCGCGGCGAGATTCCTCGGTCATTCATTAAACGTAAAAAGGAAATTGGAGCGGTGATCAGCGAGGACAATGAGAATTGAACGTTCCGCGGACCCCGGCGAAGGTCAATCGGAATTCTTGTTCGACGGAGATTCGACAGGAGAGGACATCGGATTCGAAACGGCAACGAAAACCTTCATCGAACGCTCCGTCTAATGCTTTCAAATCAATGCGAAAACTCTGCTGGATGGTTTCTCTCTGCGTCGATAATTGGAATTCCTCGGCTCTGTTGATCGTTTTCTGAGAAACAATTGTGTACCTTTGAACAACGCGTTACAATGGCTGTTTAAAAAATAATGGATACGCGCGCGTCGATATTTCAGTGCTTAAAATGAAATTAATAAATGATGCTTTTGCTTAAAACGAAATTAATCAATTATGACCGCAGAAAGGAAATAATAAATGCGCGTCCGTTGATTTTATACCGCATGAAATTGAGTTATTGTGTCTCTTAGCGAGTTCCAATGAAGTCGAATTAAATTATTCGAAATTTTTAAGCAATTGTTTGTATTCGTTTCGCGATTTTATTTGAAACGGGCGTTCTTTAAAATATCTTAACAATCTAATACAACAAGGAAATGTGCAATAATACAATATAAGAATTTTAAGTTTGATCAAGAAATGCGGTATAAAAATCCGAAACATTTTTCATGTTCGATCAAAAAATGTGATACGAACTGTCCAATTTTTTGGGGGGAATTTTTTACGAGAAAAGTTATGAATATGCAAAAAAAGTTGTACAGCAATATAATTACATTAAAATTATGTTTTGTTGTTAAAATATTTCATAGTTATTAAAAAGTCCCAATGAGGATTGTGGCAGGTTGCATGAATAAAAGAAAAGAAAAATTTTATTGTATGAAAAACTAAAGACCGAGTAAGTAACACATAGTTACTATAATCTCTAAATTATGCTATTTAATTATAATATAAAAATCAAAGCAAAACTATCATGCTTCAAGTATGATAATTTTGTTGTGTTCAACTTAAAGATGATTTCCAAATTTGTTCACTCTGAATTGAGAAGAAACGAAACCCAAAATACACACCGTCTGTTATAAACAATATTCACATATAAAATAACATTAAACTGTCAAACGCATCGGATATATTCTTCGCGCCAAGTGGTGTACGTAAAATTCCAAAATCCCTAAATGAGAATCGTCGTGGCATTTAATGTGTTAATCGAAGAATGCGGTATAAAGTCCGATGCGATATAAAGCTTTTCAAGTCCGATGTGAAAATCGCTGGTACCAGAAGGTCCATTGTCCAAATAAAATTCGGGAAATGTTATCGTCCCAGGAATCTGGTGCACTCCCGTTGCTGCACGACAAAAGTTACGAGATTCGGGGTAAACTGTATCGCATAAATGCTGAAGGGCGCGAATATAACGTAGAAAGGGAAGAACATTCTTCGATCCCGGGCGTTAGGCGAGCTGTTGTGTAGAACACAGCAGGCAAATTCGAGCCACTCCCGGACTCGAGGACCACTTTGCCTCTGGCTCGGCGTTTCGCATAGTTCTGCGGCGCCGAGCGACACATAAATTTCCGAGGCACATCGCGCGGTGGTTCTTGCCCCTCCCCCCGGCCCCTCCGACGAAAAACACTCTGACCCCGCACCCCTCGCCCGGTGTCGACCCACTTGAAAGTCCTGGTAACGATGCCAGGACTCTTCGAATTTCGCTGAGCTCGTGCCCTCCCATTCCCGACGCGTTTTGTCCACCGCTACATCCTCGGTATCACTGTGTAATTTAGGCGGGCCACAGATTTCTCGCCGCGACAAAAAAAAAGTCGAGCCGCGCGACAATTCGCTGGGAAACAGCCCCGACGATTTTGGCACCTGCTCCTTCAATCGAGCTGGAGACAATTCTTTCAACGTTCTACGAAATTGTATTCTGTACTGTTCATGTTCTTACCCTTCGGAAAGCTATAGATTTATGTAATAAAATATAATCGTATTATCACGCGTGCCGATCGATACTGTAGAAGTTAAATTACTCGCTGTAATATTTATATAAAGTTATACTAATAGTATACACATATATAATATAATACAATACAATATAATACAATACAATACAATACAATACAATACAATATAATATAATATAATATAATATAATATAATATAATATAATATAATATATTATAACATAATATAATATAATAGAACATTATATCATATAATATAATAGAACATTATATCATATAATATAATAGAACATTATATCATATAATATAATAAAACATTATATCATATAATATAATATAAAATCATTTAATTATTGTAATATAATATAAAATCATTTAATTATTGTAATATAATATAAAATCATTTAATTATTGTAATATAATATAAAATCATTTAATTATTGTAATATAATATAAAATCATTTAATTATTGTAATATAATATAAAATCATTTAATTATTGTAATATAATATAAAATCATTTAATTATTGTAATATAATATAAAATCATTTAATTATTGTAATATAATATAAAATCATTTAATTATTGTAATATAATATAAAATCATTTAATTATTGTAATATAATATAAAATCATTTAATTATTGTAATATAATATAAAATCATTTAATTATTGTAATATAATATAAAATCATTTAATTATTGTAATATAATATAAAATCATTTAATTATTGTAATATAATATAAAATCATTTAATTATTGTAATATAATATAAAATCATTTAATTATTGTAATATAATATAAAATCATTTAATTATTTTAATATAATATAAAATCATTTAATTTTTTTGATATGCATTCGTTTTTCGTCTTAAACGCATGGAACGTGCATCAAACGAATTCTGTCTGTCAATAGATCATTTGAAAAATTTAAATTCGTAAAATATATTCTATAGAACGCAGAAATATAAAATCTACAACAGCGAACATCTGTAAAGCATTTTTCTTTCGTAGTATTGTAACGAAAGCCACGAATGTGTTAACAAATTATAATTCACACCTAGGAAATCCAGCGTGAAGGCTACAATGAAATACAGAATTAAGGTGAACTTAATTTTCGTTAATAATCGTCGCAGCAGCATAAACACGCCCATTGAAGATTTCCGACGCGAGAATTCCGCTCGGGTTTCGAGCGCGACTCGCTCGATGATTTAAGTTCGCAACTTCCCGACCGCGCGTCTTAATATCGCGTGATTCGCGGCGGGCAACAATCTCCCAGGGAGATTAATGTTGCCGCGGCCCATGAATGAAACAGTATAAATTGCGCGCGTCGAAAAGTTTACCCGGATTGATATGGAGGCTCTCTGGAGAGTGTGCGTGTACATGCGAGAGAGAGAGAGAGAGAGAGAGAGAGAGAGAGAGAGGGCGGTCTGACAATGCTCGCGA